AATTTTTTTTTTTTTTTTTTGGTGATAGAAATCAAGTAAGTCTGGTTATTGAGTTTAATTCTTATTGGGACATAATTCCCCATTACATTTTTGCATGCTTTCCATCCAGCTTTTGTTCTGGACTACCTTTTCATGGAAATTTTTGCTGCAAAAAGCTTGGAAGATACAGTGTCCGCATCTCTGGCAGAGAGTATATATTTTCCCTCACCAAGATCTAAAAGAAAGGCAATGTCTCCCTTAAGGTCAAAGGAAGAAAGGTGTGCTTGCAGTTCATTATAAAAGACAGGAATTCTAAGCTTGGAGTTCCTTAATTGTGATACAAACTCACAGAATGCCCAGCACCCATGTGGGATTCTCCAAATCAACCCTTAGAATTTGGAAGGTAAAACAAACCAACCAACACATGCTTTTGTTCATATTGTTTGTTGTGCTGTGAGTACAAAAGGCCTTTCTTTTGGACTGGGTATACTTCATGTTTTCTGCTAGCATCTATGGACTATGGTAATCCAAACAGCTAGCTTATGTGTTAGTCAGCTGTCACTATAACAAAATATCTGAGATCAATTATAAGGAGAAAGAGTGTATTTTGGCTCACAGAATTATCATTTTCATTAAAAATTATACACATCCACTTATTTATATTTATACATAAATACATTTTTAAAGTTTATTTATTTTAATTAGGTATATATGACAGCAGAATGCATTTTGATTCATTGTACACAATTGCAGCACAACTTTTCATTTCTCTGGTTGTACACGAAGTAGCGTTGCATCATATGTGCAGTCATACATGTACCTAGGGTAATGATGTCCATCCCATTCCACCATCTTTCCTGCCCACCCCAGCCCTTTCTCTCCCCTCCCTCCCTCCCCTTTGCCCAAAGTTCTTCCATTTTTCCCATGCCCACCCCCCATCCCCGTTATGGATAAGCATCCACTTATCAGAGAGAACATTTGGCCATTGGTTTTGGGGGGATTGGCTTATTTCACTTAGCATGATATTCTCTCAACTCCATTTATCTGCAAATGCGATAATTAAAAATCATAATTTTTATTGTCCCAAAAATGGTGATAAAAAAGATCACTGGGGGAAATACATCATTAAGAGACAAGTCCTCTTATTTCACTTGATTTTGGTATGTAAATGTGATGTTTGTCATGCATGCATGGATGTTTATGCACATGGTTTTTATCAGATAATTTTATGTTTTTACTCATTGAAATTATATCATATTTTCTATTGCCTTAAATTTGCTGTCTGCTATCATATTGAATTGACACTAACAATAATTGTAATGTAGTATGTGCCCCTACAATAGAGACCTGTTTTGAAGTTCTGTGTTCTTCTCCTTGAACTTGCTTCAACCTTCCTCACTTGAGCTATCTGTCAACTTGCTTTTCATGCTCTGCTACTTGACTGTTTGATGCTTTAGGTTCAATTCCAGTTCTTAGACATCTGGAAGTCAACTGTTCACTCTCCAATGTTTAGCTTTTTGATCTGAGCAGTTTCTACAATGTGACACTGTTATCTCCTCAGTAAGATAGGAACTGATACTTTGTAGGTTTTATATGGTTGAATAAGAGCCATTCCTGACTCCTTTTCTTTCCTCTGCTTCCTCTTTTGGCATTTTTCCTCAGACAAGTCACATTAAAAGAAAATTTCCAATAGAGCTGGCTATATAGGTCTATAATCCTAGCAACACAGAAGGCCAAGACAGGAGAATTCCAAGTTTGAGGCCAACCTAACAACTTAGTAAGACCCTCAAGGGAGACAAAAAGCAGAGAGAGCTCACAATTTTAAAGGTTCCAGTCCATGAACTTGTGGACCCATTGCTTTTAGGTGTCTAGCGGGGATGCCAGACAGAATGGCAGGGAGGGCTGGGGATGTGGCTCTGTGCTAGAGTGCTTGCCTAGAATGGCAGGGAGTGCAAGGCAGAGCAAATAGCTCACCTTGAGGCCAAGAAGCAAACAAGAGCAAGATGAAGGGTCTGGGATCCCACAGTCCCTCTTGATGGCATACTCACAATGACCTAAGGATATACCACTAGGCCCCACCTCCTCCCAACAGCACCACCCTGGGAAGCAAGCCTTAAACACATGGGCCTTTGGGGGATATTCAACATTCAAACTAAGGCATCTAGTAAATAGTAAAAATCTCAGACCCTTCACAATTCTTAAGTCTGATGATCCCCACCCCAGTTCATTACCATCTGAAGTCATGCCATTTGATATCAGGCCTATTGCCTTTTGTAACTGTAAATCACTGCTCCTCTGGCTACTGGCCATTGAATATGCTACATGGCTTTTCCCATGTCTAGACCCTCTCATTTTCATTGACTAGGGGACTCATATTAACTACACTGTTCCCCAGTAACAGTTACAATTACCATTAAAGCAATCCCAAGATGGCAGCTCTTACACCAGTGTTTTTCTCTAGGCTCCTTCATGAGATGAAGTTAAAGATTAGGTGCCTGGGTAGGCTACGTGTGAAAAATCCACTCTTGCATCCTTATTTCCAAAGTCTTTACATTCCTCCTTCTACATTTTGCAAAGGCAATTTTAGCACTTTGACTTCTTTAGTATGGACCCCACTGAGTCCAGGTTTGTTTATTTAGGATCATTCAAGCTGCTCTAGAAAGCAGGGGAGAGTGTGAGAGGATCTTATACCAGCAATTAAATGACACATGACTCCACTCTTAAAACCTACTGGCCAGACCACACATAATCCCTCCTGCAAGAGGAACAGCAAAGTGCAAATCTCAAGGAACAAGAGAACTAGACATTTGTGAGCACCACACCCACAGAATTTAGGGTTGCCTCAGCGATGAAAAGTCAAAATATCACAAACTATTCATACCCCCTAATGGACAGGCCCCTGTTTACAGGATCTACCCCTTCAGTCCTCCTGAACAACCATCAGAACCAGAGTTCCTTAAATTTTCAACTTGAAGATTACAGCAGCTATGTTTCATTTATTTTATTTATTTGGTACCAGGGATTGAACTCAGGGGCACTCAAACACTGAGCCACATTCCCAGCCCTATTTTGTATTTTATTTAGAGGCAGTGTCTCAGAGTAGCTTAGCACCTCGCTTTTGCTGAGGCTGGCTTTGAACTCGCAATCCTCCTGCCTCAGCGTCCTGAGCCACTGCCATGCCCAGCTATGTTTTATATTCTTTAGAGTTTTTTTCCTTTCTTTTCTCTCTGCCAACTTCCACATACTATATGTAAAGTACGTGGAGTAGTTAATATTTCAAGTTTTAAAAGTGGGCATATGTATGAATCATTATCAACTCACTTTAAAACACAAGTCTAAGCCATTTGCATGTGGAGTTTAATGGTGCCTTCTGGATCTGTTAAGACCAAATCTTGTAACTGCTGCTTCTGTTTTATAATGGAATGTTCCCTGGATGTGCCCAGTGATGGTATGTTCAGTGATCACATAACTAGTTTGTGATGGGTGGTTTAGGTTGTCTAGTCACTTAAAGTCCCCAAATTAGGTGTTTAGTTTCTATCAGAATCTAGTAGTGAGTAAGAACAGCTTTTCAAATAAAGAATAATTATAGCATGGCCTTCCTCCAAAACTGAGTTTGCTCTGTGGCTTGGCAGTCTCCATAAAGCAGCTCTATTGCCACACACCCTCAATGCTATTGGATCTGCTATCTCATAAGACCCAAGAGGCTTGTCAGCCTGCATTCCAGCCTCAGTCTACTGCAGAACTTGTTCTTGTTCCAGGGCTCACTTAAAACTGGATTGTTATGGGTTATCTCATAAATAAGTAGGAGCAACATTCCCAAATGTGGCATATATTGTCACCAAAATCCAAGGAGGCTCATCAAACACTGCATCTTTTTCTTTGTGGTGGATGGTGCAAAGTACTGTTACTTCATTCTCTATTTAGAAGGGATTTATCAGTATGACCCAGACCAGACCCCTTGAAACTTCATAGAAATAGTAGGGCCCTGAACTTTTGCAAGATTTTTCTTCCATCCTCTGGTGTACCATTTTTCTACTTCCTGATCACCAGGTTCAATTAATTAACAATGTAACAATCAACATAAAGGGACAAAATTATTCACTGTAGGATACAATAAAGACAGACTCTTATCTCTGCTACATAAATACAAACTGTTCTGATTTTGCCTACAAATGGGAGTCTTTCTTCCTGAAAACACTGATTACAAAGTCAGGATTCCTGAGAACAGGGAGAGTTAAAAAGCTTAGTTCCAAAATAATTGCCTGGTTTTTATATCCTGACCTAGAGATGATTCTAGGGAAAAGATCAAGCAGAAAGGGAAAATATAAGACACTTGTTCTCCTGTTTTCTTCTCCTTTTCCAGATGACAAAATTGGAAAAAACAAATCATAGAATTTATACAATAGAATTTATATGGTGAAGATCCATAAATAGAAGCACTGATCACACCAGCCTAAGCCAGCTTCATTCAGAGCTATACAAGCACACAGCACTCTTTTCATAATATAGGAGGATTCTCTCTCTCTCTCTCTCTCTCTCTCTCTCTCTCTCTCACACACACACACACACACACACACAAACACTCCTTACCCATATAAAGTCATATAGGACATATGTTCATGAGTTTCCACAAGGAAATTAACAGCCTAAAACATATGAGGAAAGTAAAGGTAAATAAAATTCATGCTCCACAGACAGATTTCCTCACATTCAAAGAATAAAACTACCACAAAACCGTCCTGTGAATTTTCTTTATCTTTTGTAAGTCAAAAATTATTCTGTGGGGATCACCACAGTCTAGCATCTAATATACAAATACATGGTATATCAATTTTTATTTAAATCCTAAAAGAATCTGTCTCAGTATGAAACATTTTTTTCTTTCTCACATTTTTAGTAATACACAGAATCTTTTTCCTAACCAGAAATACTTCTTTCTTCAAATATTCTAAGTAATGTAGTTTTGAATCTGTTATTTGCCACAGTCTGGCTGGGCACAAATCAGGGCACAAATGAGCCACTGAAGCAGGAACAAACTTTATTTTTGAACTGCAGGAAAACACTTCACACAGCTCCCGGGAAATCCTCCCGAATGCCACGCAGCTTTTCCCAGCCGGAAATATCTCTCCTGGAAAATCCCTCCTCCTGCACTTCCCCAACCAATGGGAACTCTCGGGGAATCCCCGGAAATCCCCACGAGAACTCCAAAGTAGTGCGAGAACTCAAAAGTTGCGGCAGAGGCGGATAGTAATGCCTCGCCTGTCAATCAATACTGTTGGCAAAATGCCAGGGGCCATACAGACTCGGCCGTGGCTCTCAGCATCTCCCCTAATTAAACAACAAGCAATGTGGCTTAGGGACAGTGCCTGTTAGGTAGTCCAATTCAACATATGGTCCTTACCCATCATAGGATGAACTGACCTCTAGGCGTCAGCCTCCTGTCTTAGGTTGGTACCACTGCAATTGGATCATACCCGTCACTGACTACCAGTCCAGCATATAGCCATACTTGTGGATAGGCCTTTGCACCACTGGGGGGGGTGAGGTTCTTTGCCTCACCTCTGTTGGCCCCCAAATTTTAGACCATCACTAGTAGAAGGGAGGAGGATGCAAAATGCCATGACACTAAGCCAATTGAGGGCTCCTTTGAAAAATTGTACCACCGGTGACACCATCAGCAAAAATACTCCAGCACTACCACAATTCGCTACACCAACAGATAGTTCACAATGCATTCAAGTGATACATAGTCCAGGCAAGTTCTGCAAGCAGTTCAAAGCAGAGGAATCTGTCAATATGTCCATTTCCTCCCAAAGTAAATCGACTCCTTGATTGAGCATTACTTCTTGAGTTATTATTCATTGATGCATCAGTTTATACAGTTTGTTGTGATAACTATCGAAGAAGCTGTAGTTTGGTTTTATCTTTGTCTTCACCGGCACTGGGATGAAGATAGGAATTCTGGCAATGATGCTAAGAAAAAAATTATGTAACATTCCAACAGGCACTAAGAAAACAATTTTTTGAACAATTTACATTATCCTGAACAGAATTATTAAATATAATCAAAAGGAAAGGTGAAAGTAAACAAACAGATCTGTTAACCACCTTATTTGTTCACATATTAAAACAATTTTCAACAGCTGTTTAGCCAATCTAAATTAAACCATTAAAATCAAGTGAATAAAAAAAATTCGGATCCATTTATTCATGAGCGCTCCTCATATATGATATATGGACATACGCACATACAGACATACAACACAAAACAGAAGTGTGCACACATAACATGCAACACATAAGACAATAGTAAAGGCCTTGTAGCTTTACCTAGGTGAAATCTCCATTGCAATGTTTAAAAACTCCACAGTCAAAAAATAAAACTGATCAGAAAAACATTAACCTAGTAACCTAGGTCTGTATGAGCTCAAAAATAAAATAGAACTTTATGATATGGGAAAAGGCAAATAATAAAATAAATATTGAAAAAAGCATCCTGGTTAATCACTGTTGCAGATGTAAGAATAGCCAAACTGGAGCTCTGGATATCAGCTGTTATGGATTTGAGTCAAATCACCTTTTTTTTTTTTTTTTTTTTTGGTCCGTAGAATTCGCTTTGGTTAGTTTCTCTGGAATCCAAATCGGCTGTTGTTCTCCCTGTGGAAACACACAAACAGAACCCCAACTCCAGACAATCACTGGGTCAGGACCTTTCCATTGTCGTGTTAGAATATCCTTCCAAAGTACCTTAGGCTTATGTACATTTTTTGGACACATATGCCTTTCCGCAGTACTAAGCCCTGACGAATCCAAATTTAAAAAGTTTAGAGTAAAAAGGGTTATTTTAAGTTTATCTTTGGGGGATATATACCCCTTTCCAAATCCTATAATTTAAATATGCCTTTTCTAATGAAGAAATGAATAAACTTTATGGAAACATTCATTAAGCAACTTTGAAACAGCCCAATATAACCATCTTAAATTTTAATTAGGGGTTGACAAACTTTTCTAGAAAAGTCCGGATAGTAAAAAAAAATTTAAATGTTCTTTTTATCTCTTTAAAAATATAAAACCAAATAAGAAACAAGGATGCGAACAAATATTTATATACTAATGTTCATAGTAGCATTTATTAATAGTCAAAAGGTAAGAACAACCCAAAAGATAATCAATGGATGAAATGGATATACAAATTGTGGTATACACGTACAATGGAATATTATTCAATCCTAAAAAGGAAATAAAATTCTACAATATGTATGAACCTTGAAAACATTATGCTAGGTCAAACAAGCCAGACACAAAAGAACAAATATCGTATGATTCCACTTATGCAAGTTAGCTGGATAGTCAAATTCATACAGATAGAAAGTAAAATAATGGTGACCCAAGACCTGTGGGGAGTTGCTACTTAATGAATGCAGAGTTTCTACTTGGGATGATAAAAAAGTTCTGGAGGTCATAGTGGTAAGAGTTGCACAACAATGTGAATATATTTAATACTACTGAATTGTACATTTAAAAATGATTAAAACAGTAAATACTATGTTTTGGATATTTTACCATAGTTGAAAAAGAAGGTAAAAAATTATTCTTAGCTCAAGGACCATACAGAAACATACTGCAGACCAAGAATGACTGCAGGACATTTTGTCAGCCACAGCTCTGAAGTGTAAGACCCAATAAATAAATTACAGTGCTATGAAATACTAAAAAAATTTCCAAGTCATCGAAATTCATTTTTATTTTAACATGAACATGTTATATTTTTTCATATTTAATGATTATTAAATTTGCTACTTAATGAATTTATAAATGCAACTACAGTATTGACCAAAAATATCTGAGAGAAGCCTCAAGATAAGGTAGACTATATATAAAGTCATATAGACAAATAGAGATACGATGATACTTATCAAGGATCTCAGCTTTATCTGTTATAGACATGGGTAGGGCAGGGGACAGTAGAGATGAATACGACATGGCAACTTCAACGAAGTGTAAAATTTAGGCTGAAAGATATGGTAGGTAAAGTTTAATCTCAGTAGAAGCAAAAATACTCAGCTCCAAGGTTCAGATTTGAAGTTTGATATTACAACTTATACCACTTCCATTTTCTTCCCCACTCATTTGGTATAGAATAGACCAGTTTCCCTCCCATTTGAGAGGGGAAGAGGAAAAAAAGGAAACAATACAAATTGAAGCATACTGTAAGGACCCTCTTAGATCTCTCCTCTTTTTACAATCTTTATATATAAAACTCACTTAACTCATTGGTTGGTTAGCATCATCTCAGATTCCGGAGCCAAAATGTTCCTTAAAAAGAAAAATCTAAGACATTTCTTCCTAGGGTGAGTCAGCCATAGGCAGAAAATCATTATAAGGGAGAAACTTCTTTCAGATTAGGTAAATATAAACACATAGATAAAAGACTACTGGAAAAATGTGTACCAAGCAACTCCAAACTAAGTGTGCATGGATTTTTCAGGTCAGGACACAGGACAAAGCAGAAACAAGGATGGTGTGCATATCTCTGGTCCACATGACTGACTATGGCCTCAGCCAGGAGTACTCAAATGGCTGAGGAATGCCTGGTATGGCTGGGAGCTGCAATCAGCTTGTTCACTCATGACTGTCACCTGGGCTAGGTTGAGCTGACTCTCAGGGTACCTTCAAGGAGCCTCTCTGCGCGTCCTAGGCTTTCTCACAGCACTTTAGCCTCAGGCAGTGAGACTTTTTTACATGATGCTTGAAAGTTCAAAAAGTAAGTGTTCCAGTAGTCAATGTGGAGCTATATGGCCTTTTATGACCTAGCCTCAGTAGTCACATAGTCACATAAAGTGACTATGGTCACTTTAACCATATTCTGCCGGTCAAATCAGTCACCGGCCCATACAGACTTTAGAAGAGGAAACACTGACTCTCTTTTTATGAGAAGATTGTCAAAGAATTTAAAACCAGGTTTTAAAACCACTATGGACATATTAAATGAAAGAGAGATGAAGATACATGCCAAAGTGTTAATAGTGCCCAGTTCCCAGGATTGTTCAAAAGAAATTTAATTAATCTATCATTTTTATGACAGACTAATCCAAACACATCCTTCAAGGATGGCAAAATTCCATCTACCTATTTTCATGTGATACAGTAACAGATAAACAGAAACTTCAATTGTTTTACATAATTTACATGAAAGTTGATCAACAGCTTACTTTTGACCCTCATGCCATCTTCCAGTTATAATCACCTCTTTTTGTTTGTTTGTTTGTTTATTTTTAACAAACACCATTCAAGCTCAGATCTACCCTTCAGGCTTAGGCTAAATCATATCTAGAGTACAGACAATATCTATAGCAAATGAACCAAGCAGATTAGGATCACAGCAGCCTTATGGTTGCTGACAGTGGTCATTTCTTATAATTCCTCAACTTCAGGAATTCATAGGCCAAGAAAAACTTTAAAAATAAGCCACATGTTGGGCACATAAAATTACCAATGTTTTATTCTCCGAAGTAAGAACATTTGAAAAACAAGTAATATTGACTATTATTTCATTACATTAAAAAAAAGGACAGGCAATTTTGAAATAAAAAACAATCCTTAGAGTAAATAAATTTAACTAAATGAAAAATTCACTATGTTCTCATTTCTCTGGTGGACTGTAGAAGGTTCGCCACAGGTGAACCCAGCTCACAAAATGGGCAAAAACATTCATGCATCTGACATTTTGGTCTCCTCACTTCCTTGCATTTCTTTCTAATGGTTCTAGAACTTTATCTTTCTCTGAGGAGCCCATAGTCTAAAAAAGACAAATAAATGATTATATGCTATAATACTTATAAGCATTATAGGAATATTATATGCTAATAATACTATAAACATACAGAGAGAGAGGTCAATCAAGAAAGAATTCACAAAATAGATGAAAAGGTTTTGCCCATGACAAAGAATATTTCAGGTAGCAATAACACTGTGGCTGAAAGTAGAGACAATCTACATATACAGACTATCCAAGGAAGTGAAAATTAGTAGTTATATTTGGTTGTAGAATGAGGATTAATTTCCTCTTCCTTATTTTTCTATTTTCCAAATTTTAACAATACAGCATGCATTTCTATAAAGTTCAGGAAAGTTTTTTACCTATTTTTTTTTTAATTAGAAAACATCATGTTGCCCAGACAGATCCCAAACATCTGGGCTCAAGCCATTTTCCTACCTCAGTCATGCACCTCAGCCTCCCAGTAGCTGTGACCACAATCATTTCAATTCTGAAAGTTAGCTTAGAAGACCCAACAAAAGGCAAAAGGCCTACTTTTCCCTTTAAGAAAGCAGTTTGAACTTAATTAAAGAGGCCAGGTTATAAAATGGAGATGCTAAAGATTGGGAAGAGGGTGGCAGAAATCAAGTGCCTTTCTTTGGCTAAAACAGATGACACTGGGGAAAATAATCATAATATTCCCTCCTTGTCTATGTGAGAATCCAGGACTGAGTGTACTCAATATTGCAAGCCTTTCGTCCATATGGTCATTAGGCAGAAATTCCCAGCGGGGGACAAGAGCTGACAGATCAAATGCTTAAAGGTCAGAGTCAAAGGACCAAGGCTAGAATTCCAGGTCTACCACTTACTAGCTCAATGAACTTGGACAAACTGTTCAACCATTTTAAACTTTTTTCATACGTAAAATGGAAAACTGCCTACCTCTCTGTATTTTTGTGCAGAAAGGCTGATATAAAATGTACTACTTAAAAGAACTTAGCACAACACCAGAAAACAACAATTATAATAAGGGGATATTCTTATATCTAAATGAGAAGTAGACACTTGTTTGCTCTTGACTGATAAAAGCTTTAAGATCCCATTTGCCAAATCTACAGCTAAAAGCTTAGAGTGCATAATATACCTTTCTCAGCAAGAACATTGACCTCTTAAGCCTTAAATGGATGTTATTTTTTTAACAGAAGTTCTAAATACATCTGTTATTTGCGGTTGTTCTAAAATTAAGCTATTTTTAGAATGATTGTTCTGCAGGGTGCAGAAACAACTAAATGGAGCCTTCTTCAAACCCCTAGATTCTAAAATCTTATTGAAAACTAGGCAGAGGTTTCCTCGTTCTCCTCTTATTCCAGCTGGCTTTCTAATTCACTCTTAAGAGAGGCGGAGATTTTTCTGTGGAAAAAAAGCCTTCTGTCTTCCAGTTCGACCTTAAAGTAACCGTCCCTTACCCGGGCTTTCTTTTAGCGGGAGTAAGGCCGGCAGAAGAACGTAATGTTGTCCAACAATTCCTGCAGCTTTCACAATTCCTCTCAGGAACCACAGATAATCACGACCTGCCTCCCACCTCCTAGGTCTTTCTTCCTACTGACTCGTACGCAAATGATGCAGCCCCGCCCCCTGTAGGTGACCAATCAGGAAGGGTAAAGCGGCCCGGATGGGGCGGTTCCAGCTTGGCCCTGACGACGAATCACCTGCCTCAGACAGCAGGGGCGGAAGCGGAAGAGAGTCCAAAGTCCTGCTTTGGCCTTGGGTTCCGCCGGGGGAGGGGCATGTCCCGTGCAAGTGAGTGAGAAAATCCTGGGGCCCTGTCTACCAACAGAGTGGGGCGAAGAGACGCCTGCGAGCGCGGGAGGGAGGAAGCTCGATCCCCAAAGAAAAGAACGAGCAGGCAGAACCCGAGTGTGCGGGGGCCCTAGAGACCGGTCCGGTCGGCGCCGCTTTGCTCCAGGCCATGATGCAGGCGGAGCTCTGGGCGATCCCCAGGTGAGGGCAGCGGCCCCGCCCGGGCTTTCCACCGCGGCAGAACCGGGTAGATGAGGGGTGGGGAAGAAAGGATGCTGCCCGCACTGCTCCGTGGTAGCACCCTCAGCGGCCGAAGTTGCATCAGGAGCAGCAGAAAGCACAACGCCGGCCGAGGAGGCGGCTCGAGCTGTTGGTAAAATCGCCTAACAGCTCATTCTCTGTAGTATGCGAGTTAACAAAACAACCACAGAACAGGGCTCCGTATTAAGATCTCCTTTGAGCTTTTTTTCCTCGCTACGCGGATCTGGTTTATGCGAAAACATGCCTTGCACGTGTACCTGGAGGAACTGGAGACAGTGGATTCGACCTTTAGCTGTGGTCATCTACCTGGTGTCCATAGTCGTTGCGGTTCCCCTATGCGTGTGGGAATTACAGAAACTGGAGGTAAGAGGGTCCTGCACTTTCGGCCTCAATCCTTTCGTCTACCTAAGGTTGGAGAAAAGACACTTTCCCCCCTTTTCTACCTTAAACACCCAGGTTTGGTATCTGAAAACCATCCCATGTAAATGAGAGCAGTCTTTGGATATAAACCTGCCCGATTTGTTCACTGTTCTTCCAATCATGCTACAGGATATGTTAATGTAGCTTCTTAGAAGAACATCGTTTTGCAAGAATTCATCATTTCCCTGAAAGCAAGGTAATTTTATTCGTAAAGTCTGATCTGCTGTTCAGGTATTGGACTTAACCATCAAATAAACTACCTTGAAAACCATGTATCAAATTTTATTAGCTTTTCATTAGCTTCCTGAATTAAAGGATTCTGGTTGGTTTGACTTTGTGGTTTGTCTTTACTTTTGAAATTAGCTCCTAACCAAAGCAAAAGTTTTGCAAAAAGTCTCTTGTATATTTTTTGATGTCATATTCTTATTGTGACATCAATAAAGTACTACAAACTGGAAACCCCCCAGGTAAATACTTACTTAAGAAATGTGCTTTATTTTCAAATGTATAGTGAGCTTTAAATTCTGCGTTAATAAAAATCAGATAATACCTTTACTAAGAAACACTTATTTTACAGGAGCTATGACAAAGACCATGACTATTTTAAGCCCTTTTTTATTTTGGAAACTTTAAAAATAGTTAATGTATTTTATACATTTGTGTTCTGTATGTTCACTATTATATTGTGTTGACTTTCCCATACTGGATGATATAAAATTTTGCTATATTAAGTATTTCTCACTTGTTAGATGTTTAGGTTATTTGAATTTTCCAAAATGCATATATAAACATCTTAATCCAAATAGTTTTCTTACTTTGAAATATTTCCTTAGTGTATGGTATAGGAACTATTTTTAAGGTTAATGAAAGGTATAACATCTTCCCAGTTTAAGATTTCTTTAGTTGTGGGTTTTTACGTACCACTAACAGTTAAGAAAAATTCTGATCCCAGAGAATACCCTGAGCCAAGTTCTCACCATCTTACCTAGACTCTTCTGAATACACCATCCAGAATATCAGCTAAAATGTATCACCATAAATGTGTCATTTCAGTCACTTGTAGCTCCAGAGCAAAAGCCAGTATTCCTATGGCCATCAAGACCCATGGTCTGACACTACTCCCTACCTTCACCTTTCTCTCCTCATGTTCTGGGCTTCCACCACACCAGCTTTACTCAACTTGCTGGGCATGCTCCCTCATTAGATCCTTTGCATTCCTTCTTTATAGAATGCCATTTACCCAGAAGTTCTTACTCCTTTATGTCTTTCAGTTCTTTACCAAATGTCACCTGGCTACAAGGTTCTTCTCAACTTTTTTATTTCCTTCCTTGCTTTATTTTTCTTTATAAGATTTCCCATCTACTACAATATATATTAACCTTAGTTTTGTCTTCCTCCTCCTGCTCAGATGACTGACACTCAATAAATAATTGAGTCTCAGTGATGAATCAAGTTTTGTGAACTATAGGGTGAGAAATATAAAAACATGGCAACCTGCCTTCCTTGAACTTAGTGGTGAAGAGAAATGCAGCCACCAAAATAATAATAGTAGTAGTAATAATAATAATAATAAGATACTATGGAAGAAACTAAAAAAGGTCTGAGAAATAAATAGGGAGGGCAGGGTTAATGCACCACTTCAAAAGATTGATCTGTCTGCTGTGGAAAATAAAGTGAAGTGAAGCTGGAAAGCTGTTATGGTAGTTGAGAGATAGTAGGTGCCTGGGATATGATGATTTATGGCCAAAATCAGGATAGCAGAAGTGGAGGAAGAAAGCTGAATTTTAAGTATCCTTGGAAGTGAACAAACAGGACTGGTAGTACATTGGATTAGAGAGACTATAAGAGAAAGGGAAGAACCAAAGATGAGTCTGAGGGCTGGGGTTGTGGCTCAGTGGTAGAGCACTTGCCTAGCATGTGTGAGGCACTGGGTTTGATTCTCACACTGCATATAAATAAATGAATAAAATAAAGATCCATCAACATCTAAAAGAAAAAGATGAGTCTGACGTTTTGGGCCTGAGCAACTGAGTAAGTGGTGGTACCAGTTACTGAGATGGAAAAATTGAGATTTTTTATGAATATTTAGTTTAATGAGAGACATTCAAATGATCATGTAATGTTTGCAGTTGAATGTGCAAGTCTAGAGCTCAGACAGGTTTGCACTACAGATATTAATATGGGAATCTGTTTTAATCTACTTAGTCCTTCAGAAGAAAATACCAACCAGACATGGTGACACACACCTTTAATCCCAGCTACTCAGGAGGCTGAGGCAGGATCACAAGTTCAAGTACCTGTCTAAAAATAAAGAATAAAAAAGAAAAAGGACTGGGGATTAGCTCCTGAGTTTAATCCCCAGAATCATGCAAACTTTTTTTTAATATTGTTTAGTTGTCAATGGACCTTTATTTTATTTATTTATTTATATGTGGTGTTGAGAATCGAACCCAGTGCCTCACACATGCTAGGCAGGCGCTCCACCACTGAGCCACAGCCCCAGCCCTGCAAATTTTTTTTTTTTTTTAAAGGAAGAAAATACCATAGATCAAGTGGCTGAAACAATAGGAATTTATTTTCTCATAGTTCTCAAACTTTTGGAGTCCAAAATCAGCACACCAGCAGGATTGATATCTCAGTGAAGGCCCTCCACTTGAGTTGGGGATAGCTGCTTTCTTCCTCTATACTCACATGGTACAGAAAAAGCTCTCTGTTGTCTCTTCGTATTATAAGGCCACAAGCCCTGTCAGATTGGATTTCCACCCTTATCACCTCATTTAACCTCATAAAGGTCCTGTTTCCAAATAACTTGTCATTTGCATTAGGAGTTAGGGTTTTAACATACAAATTTTGGAGGGGGCACAGTTCATTCAATAGAGTTGTCAGAATGTAGATAGTATTCAAAACTATGCACTAGATTATAAAGAAGAAATGGCAAAGGACCTAGCACCATCACTGTAATCCCAGTGACTCAGAAGGCTGAGGCAGGAAAATCACAAGTTTGAGGAGCATCTGCAACTTAGCAAAGCCCTTAGCAGCTTAGTGAGGCCCTGTCTCAAAATTAAAAGGGTTGTGGTAAAGAAACTCTGGGTTCAATCCCCAGTACCAAAAAAGAAAAAGAGCTTAGCACCAATTTTAGAAGATATATGGAAAGAATAGGAACTTACAAAGGAGATAAAGCAGCAGCCATTGGGAAAGTGAATGCCAGGAGACTGCTTCAAGGAAGACAGTGAACAATGTCCAAGCTGCGGCAGTGCCCATTGCTCTTCACAAATGGGAAGCTTGTTAGTGATCTTAGTAATGGTCTCAGTGGAGTTTTGTATTGTTTTATTTTTATTTTATTTTTTGTAGTTGTGCATGGACAGCAGGCCTTTATTTTATTTTTATGTGGTGCTGAGGATCAAACCCATTGCCTCACACATACTAGGCAAGTGCTCTACCACTGAGCTACAGCCCCAGCCCTTCAGTGGAGTTTTAAGGGCCCAAACCAGAAAAGAGTTATTTGAGAAAAGAATATGAGGTGAAAAAGTGGAATCAGGAAAGGAAAATAAACTTTGTTTTTGCTTGTTTGATTTTGAGAATTTTGACTCTGAGGGGATCTGAGAAATGAATGGCACAGTACCTGGAGGAGGAGTGTGTGATTTAGAAAAGGTTTATATTTCTTTGAGGTTAGAGATGCTCACTGAACCATGTCCCCATGATTTAATGCTAGCTGTAATTTTATTCAGTTCTCTTAAAAACCCGGAAAGAAAGTATCCTCATTTTATAGCTGTAAAAACTGAAACAAATAAGTAGCTGAATTGACATTGTACTCAGGGTTTTATATATGATATCCTATCCTTTTCATCTTTTCTCACTAAATAAGTTTATGTATCTGAAATTCTTAATACTATGCCCAGAAAATAGTAGGTGCTCAATAAGCTCTAGTTGCTCTAGTTACAACTATGATTTTTTTAACATATTGGTATCATTATTGCATTGAAACAACAATTCTTTTTCTTGTGCAGTAGCAGCTTATGGAAGTAAACTCTCAAATTGAACAAACAACTAAAGCGACATTACAGGTATCTGTTTGAGCACTAGATATACTTTGACTTATGTTTAAGGACATTTTGTGTGAAAA